GGACAATGGCACTATGTATCCGGACACCAGTTGCCTGTGCGTGGACGGCAAATGCAATCCGGCTGGTGTTATTAATGTTGGACGCTGTAACTTTAACACATCCATCTACATGTCCTATCCACATTTTTATCTGGCCGACCCCAGTTATCTGGAGGCTTTGGATGGCCTACAGCCGGAAAAGGAGAAGCATGAGTTCTTCATGGCATTGGAGCCCAACGCTGGCGTGCCCATGGATGTGGGTGGTGGCTTCCAGGCCAATTATATGATGGAGCCGGTGCCGGGCGTTGCGTAAGTTTATCATTCACTTAATGGCAAGACAGACGCTAACCAGCTTATTCCATTTGCCATTTTAGTCTCTATGCGCGCGTGCCACGCATTATGCTACCACTTATGTGGGCCGAGGAGCGTGTTCGTGTCAGCGAGGAAATCGCTGCAAGCATTGGTCTGGTTCCACTCATTGTAATGCTCGGCCAGATATTTACGGGCATACTGCTTGCCGGCGGCCTTATTTGTACGTGCTGGTATCCAACGCGCCAGTTGACGCGTCTCTGCCATAGCGATGATCCCAAAGCCAAAGCGTCGATGCTTCGTCCGCTGACCACATTTGGCGCCGGCGTCAGTTCGGCTAGCGCAACACCAGCTGTGCAGCAGCTTTTCCGCCAGACTGCCAACCAAAACGATCGTGTGGGCGTGCGTCTGTTAGATTACAGGCGCAGCTCGGGCATTGAAGATGGCGATGACGAGTGCAGCGGCGGCAACACGTCTAGAGATCGCCTAATCGAGAGCCGCTCAACAGATGTGATAATTAGTTAATATACATATATCGTTGCATCTTGCATTTTCAATATATTGCCTTAGGGGAGCCAAAGACATACTCCGCGCCACGTCTCGCCATTAAAACTCAACAGATGTTAGTTAGTTGATTGATGTTGCCTTTTGTCGAGTTGCCGCATTCATAGTATAAATACGTACTATCCCTCCACAAACACACATATCCATTCGTACAAATATCCATCATGCTCATATAGTTTCCTCACACCAAACAGCACCAACAAACATACATACGCATGCTGCTGGAGTATAGAGAGAGATTGATAAGATTATTTATTAATTAGTGCCAAAAAGTGAAAGATAACCTAAACAAAAAGTCATTGACTATTTTAGTAGCATAACTTAACTGTATATAAGTGATTATCCTAGCTCCAAAGCTATCAATCCCCTTGTATAAATTTAAACTGCGCACGTCCAAAGTATTTTTATATTATATATTTATATACATATATAAATTTAATGCATATTTTTTTTAGTTAGCTTTTATACAACGCGGCTCCAATTCGCGTTCGCATTCAAATGAAGTGATACAAAGCTTAAACGCATAGAGCATTCTCCAGTGAATACACGCGTAACATAAAACATAAAAAAACAAAAAACAAAGAAAGTAAATAAAACTGAATTAAAAAAGAAAACAAAAACAAAAACCGCAAGAGTTCGTTTATACGCTCTGAAGCCAGCTGGAAAAGGCCCAGAAGCACAGGCTGACGAAGCTGAAGCTAACCAATGAATTGAACGTGCCAGCACCATTGCCTGTGTTGCCCAAATCTAGCCTCGAAGACAGCTCCTCTGGCACATCCAAATAGACACGATCCAGGCCAAAACTGAAGATTAGCTTGCGCAGCTGCGCCACATCTACGTAGTCGTTGTCTGACGACCAAATGGTCAAAGTGCTCTCATTTGTTTCATTCACAGCGGACACCAGCTTGTGCAAATGTGAGGCGCTGTTCGCGGCAATGCCGGCACGCACGGGAAATGTTATGGCCTGCCCGGTCGAGGTCACATTGTTGTCATTGATGGCCTGCAGCATTGCATTGCACTGCTCCTCGGTGTACTCGCCATCTCGGTAATTTGCGCCCCATCTGGTAGTCCAACCAATCGAGAGTACGGCCTGTTTGTAGCGCATGCATCCGGCAAAGAAGCGTGCCGGATCCACTGGCACTGAGTTGTTCTGCTCCACTGGTCCACTGATAATGTCTGCGTTTATCCAAATGGGATAGGCCATCTATGTGGTCGCATTATAGTGCATACGATACGTTTTATATGGTAAGGCCATGCTCACCTTTGGTATGATCTCGTCCAGAATGCCCAACGAACCCTCAAATACCTCAATAGATTTGAAGTCCAGCTTAACGCCCTTCTCGGCACCCTCGTGGAGCTCGTTGTGCGCCCTAATTTGAAGCAAAAAGTCCTCCAACGTCAAATCTGATATGGTTATTGGCGGATGCGCCATCACCGGCAAATCTGCTCCCTCTCCATTCAGCTGGCCGAGCACGATATCCGCCTCAATCATATCAATTTCACCTTCAGAGCGCAACATTGGTTAGTTCAAGTGAAGGTTAACACATCTGGCTTATTGTTATCGCAAATGCTTACCACTTAGCGCATCGGCCAATAGCTGCTGGCTGTTGACGGCATGCGCCCAGCTGATGGCGGTTAGGTTCGCCGCCTTGGCGATGAGTTTGCCCTTGTCAAAGCGGACCATTTCTACTGACGCATTCTGTTCCTGATCCTGCAGCACAATTTCAAAGGGCAAAAGCTGTGCCGAATGCAGCGTTGCCAGCTCGTAATAATAGACGCTGTTGTTTAAAGCTGCTCCATTGATTTTAACCACAAAGTGTGCTATTTAAATCAATTCGATATTACAATAAAAACAACTGAACAGAGTGACAATGCAAAATATATGTGTAAGTTTAACGAGAGACGTTTCTTACCTTTGACAAAGCAATTTCGAATCGACGCTCACAGAGAATGTCACATGAATTGTTTACCCACAAATAGAGTTCAATTTTCTCTATGTGTGCGTGTGTAGTTTGAGGAAATGTGTGTGTGTGTGTGTGTGTGAGTGTGTGCGTGCCTACCAGTGACGGTTTATAATATAACTTTTATAAGGCCGCCGCTTTCGGGAGCAATTCCAACGAATGCCACTGCAGTAAAATTGAAACTGAGTGCCATATAAATGAAGCTAATGCAATTTACGATGGACTATGATAAGCAACTGCAGCTGAAAATAATGACATCTGACAGGTATAGAGCGCAGGCGCAGTATGGTGCAAGTAAAGGCCTTCTCAAAAAGTTTCAACATTACCAAGCATGCAAATCAGAACTGCAAGCGACAATGACCCTTGGTAGGCACGGTGTGGATCTTTGCTATTAATTGCCATGTTCTTGCCGGACCTAACCTTGCGAAATAATAACATTACCCTTTATTAATCAGTAAATAATATAATTGCGATAAGAAAATCAATTGATTAAGATTGAAGTATTTTCTTTGTCTTATCGTTGACTTTTGTTCATCTAATTAAAATCAATTAATTGTTCTGTCTTTAATAATTTGCAAAAATTTGTGTTAATTTTCATAAATAATAATTTTCAATTTTGTCTTTCAATATGTTTAAACTTCAACGTACGCTTACCGCGAACTATAACGACGAATCAAATGGCATAGATTCTAAATAATGCCGATAACTCGTTTTAGCGATACTTTTGTTGGAAAATCGTTTATATCGATATCAGCAAATAAATAAGTTAATGCAGTAAATAACGAAAACGTTTAAACAGTGGAGCATATTTTATTATCAAGGGTAGCTACTGTATTTTGCTAAAACAATCATTAGCAAGTGACTGGTAATGATAATAAAGAGCATATTCAAATTTCAGTAAATATCGCGCATCACTGATTGCGCTTTATGTTAAGAATCTGTTATTTTCAATGTTATGGAACCAGTCAGCAGCTGCTAATTTCAAATTCTATCAAATAGCTGTTAAGCAAATGTATAACTTCTTGCCGCTGTTAGGGGGCTGTTAAAAAAATACTAACTACAAAAATAAATGAAAACACCAAATAAACTTGTGCTTTCGGTGTGCCGTTTTTATTATTACGTGTACTGCTTAGCTTTCAATTTCATTTTATCTATTCACGAGCACACAATCAAAGACTAGTAGCCGCCTGATAAGAGCCGGCACAATCGTTGGACACACTTGTCGGTCAAGCACATAGAAAGTTACAAATTCCAAGCAATCCAAAAATGGTCGATATTATCAAGAAAGGTGCTCTGCTTCTAATGAACCAGAAGTGTTACGACAACTACTTCCTGGATTACAATTTCCTCGATGGTAAGTTACGCAGTTACTGCTCTGCTGGTTACAAGGGGTCATTATTTTTCTTTCTTGCAGTGCCGTGCTTCAAGGCGTTGCTGAGCAAGGGTCTTGGCATCGGCATCATCGCCGGCTCGGTGCTGGTGAAAGTGCCACAGGTGCTGAAGATTCTCAATAGCAAATCTGGCGAAGGCATTAATCTATTGGGCGTTATGCTGGATCTGCTGGCAATTACATTCCATATGTCGTACAACTTTATGAACGGATATCCATTCAGTTCCTGGGGCGACAACACTTTTCTGGCCCTGCAGACGGTGGCCATCGCAGCGCTTGTGTTGTTCTTTGGTGGGCGAAAGCTGCAATCGTTCTTATTTCTGGTTGCCTATGCTGCTCTACTGTATGTCCTTAATTCGGGCTTGACAACCATGAAGGTGCTGCTCACCATACAAAGCTGCAACATACCCATTCTACTTGTTGGCAAGCTCTCGCAGGCGCTGACCAACTACAGGGCCGGCTCTACGGGCCAATTGTCAGCGGCCACGGTCATAATGATGTTCGCCGGATCTCTGGCACGCATATTTACATCTATACAAGAAACGGGCGATCAGATGATTATCATCACGTTTTGCGCGTCCACGTTCGCCAATGGCGTGATTCTCGCGCAACTCTTGTATTACTGGAACAAGCCGGTGCCCGGTGCCGCCAAAAAGGAGGCTGCAAAGGTCAAGAAACCCAAGAGTAAGAAGGACGACTGAGATGTGATTGCTTAGCGTTAAGGTTTAACACTTTCTCGACATGATTGAACAAATATTAAAACTAAATAAATGTATTAGCAAATTTAATAAGAACGAAATGTACGTAGTCTTTTTTTTGTTTAACAACAGACAAGAGCGTTTCGCAGATTAGCATTTCTCATTTTCAAAATGCTGCTGCAGTAGATCCAAGGCTCTAAAGCGATGCGAGATTTTGTTCTTTTCAGACTTCGGCAGTTCCGCATAGGTTTGTGTGTACCCTTTGGGCTGAAACACTGGATCCCTGTAAGCATAGAAAATCTCCAGATTACTTGTAGAAGTTCTCTCGTATGACACTGTTATACGAACCAGCCAAAGTCGCGCGGACCACGTGGCTCCACAATGACGCCCTCGGTAATGCCCTGAAAGAGCCGTGGCTCAGCCGCTCCGTTTTCACAATAGGCAAAGGTACAAACGGCACGTGCAGATTTATCTTCCCAGCCGCTCAGCAGTCGATGCAGACCCTCTGGCTGCAGTTTGTCCAGAAACCATTTAATATACGGACCCGGTAGACCCTCCAGCGCATTGAAGCACAGGCTAGTATCCTCTATGAGCACCGGTCCGTTTACTTGACGCGCCGCTTCCTTGCATTTTTTCAACGCAATATCTTCAATCTCGCCCTGCAGCTCAGGCAGATCCACTTTCTTCGAGATGATCGTGCGTGGAAAATTGGGCCCAAGTATGGCGATAAGTTCCTCCAGCTTTTTGGCATTGCCCGTAACAAAGGTAATTGGTTTCGACATGCTGCTCCTATTGTTGTCACCAATTTAAACAAATTTGTGCGCCGTTCTTCCCTCTCAACAAATCAATTCGTTTGACGCCCGCAGTCCCCCTCCACAAACAATTCGATAAGTCGCGCAATCAGCTGTTCACGGGGTCGATAAAGCAGGGTCGTTATGCATTTGAATAAGCAAATGGAGCCAAATACGGGTAGCGATATGTCGTTTAGAAACGATGATCAAGCGGAGCTATGTCGTTTCAAAACGACATAATCTCGCCATGATCAACGGCGGAGTTATGTCGTTTTAAAACGTCATATCTCCGCGCGGAGATATGTCGTTTGTAGAGCCATGAAAACGACATAACTCCAGGCAAAACGACATAACTCCAGGCTCTGTAGTCTGTAGTCTGTAGTCTGTAGTCTCTAGATATGACGTTCAAACGATATAACTCCAGGCTCTGTAGTCTGTAGTCTGTAGTCTGTAGTCTGTACTCTGTAGTCTGTAGTCTGTAGTCTGTAGTCTGTAGTCTGTAGTCTGTAGTCTGTAGTCTGTAGTCTGTAGTCTGTAGTCTGTAGTCTGTAGTCTGTAGTCTGTAGTCTGTAGTCTGTAGTCTGTAGTCTGTAGTCTGTAGTCTGTAGTCTGTAGTCTGTAGTCTGTAGTCTGTAGTCTGTAGTCTGTAGTCTGTAGTCTGTAGTCTGTAGTCTGTAGTCTGTAGTCTGTAGTCTGTAGTTGTAGTCTGTAGTCTGTAGTCTGTAGTCTGTAGTCTGTAGTCTGTAGTCTGTAGTCTGTAGTCTGTAGTCTGTAGTCTGTAGTCTGTAGTCTGTAGTCTGTAGTCTGTAGTCTGTAGTCTGTAGTCTGTAGTCTGTAGTCTGTAGTCTGTAGTCTGTAGTCTGTAGTCTGTAGTCTGTAGTCTGTAGTCTGTAGTCTGTAGTCTGTAGTCTGTAGTCTGTAGTCTGTAGTCTGTAGTCTGTAGTCTGTAGTCTGTAGTCTGTAGTCTGTAGTCTGTAGTCTGTAGTCTGTAGTCTAGTCTGTAGTCTGTAGTCTGTAGTCTGTAGTCTGTAGTCTGTAGTCTGTAGTCTGTAGTCTGTAGTCTGTAGTCTGTAGTCTGTAGTCTGTAGTCTGTAGTCTGTAGTCTGTAGTCTGTAGTCTGTAGTCTGTAGTCTGTAGTCTGTAGTCTGTAGTCTGTAGTCTGTAGTCTGTAGTCTGTAGTCTGTAGTCTGTAGTCTGTAGTCTGTAGTCTGTAGTCTGTAGTCTGTAGTCTGTAGTCTGTAGTCTGTAGTCTGTAGTCTGTAGTCTGTAGTCTGTAGTCTGTAGTCTGTAGTCTGTAGTCTGTAGTCTGTAGTCTGTAGTCTGTAGTCTGTAGTCTGTAGTCTGTAGTCTGTAGTCTGTAGTCTGTAGTCTGTAGTCTGTAGTCTGTAGTCTGTAGTCTGTAGTCTGTAGTCTGTAGTCTGTAGTCTGTAGTCTGTAGTCTGTAGTCTGTAGTCTGTAGTCTGTAGTCTGTAGTCTGTAGTCTGTATGTAGTCTGTAGTCTGTAGTCTGTGTCTGTAGTCTGTGTCTTAGTCTGTAGTCTGTAGTCTGTAGTCTGTAGTCTGTAGTCTGTAGTCGGTAGTCTGTAGTCTGTAGTCTGTAGTCCTGTTCTGTAGTCTGTAGTCTGTAGTCTGTAGTCTGTAGTCTGTAGTCTGTAGTCTGTAGTCTGTAGTCGTAGTCTGTAGTCTGTAGTCTGTAGTCTGTAGTCTGTAGTCTGTAGTCTGTAGTCTGTAGTCTGTAGTCTGTAGTCTGTAGTCTGTAGTCTGTAGTCTGTAGTCTGTCTGTAGTCTGTAGTCTGTAGTCTGTAGTCTGTAGTCCTTTAGTCTTTGTCTGTAGTCTGTAGTCGTAGGTCTTAGTCTGTAGTCTGTAGTCTGTAGTCATAACTCCAGGAGGAGATATGACGTTCCAAAACGACATAACTCCAGGCAAAACGATATAACTCCAGGCTCTGTAGTCTGTAGTCTGTAGTCTGTAGTCTGTAGTCTGTAGTCTGTAGTCTGTTGTCTGTAGTCTGTAGTCTGTAGTCTGTAGTCTGTAGTCTGTAGTCTGTAGTCTGTAGTCTGTAGTCTGTAGTCTGTAGTCTGTAGTCTGTAGTCTGTAGTCTGTAGTCTGTAGTCTGTAGTCTGTAGTCTGTAGTCTGTAGTCTGTAGTCTGTAGTCTGTAGTCTGTAGTCTGTAGTCTGTAGTCTGTATACTGTAGTCTGTAGTCTGTAGTCTGCAGTCTGTAGTCTGTAGTCTGTAGTCTCTAGATATGACGTTCCAAAACGACATAACTCCGCGAGGAGATATGACGTTCCGAAACGACATAACTCCAGGAGGAGATATGACGTTCCAAAACGACATAGCTCCAGGAGGAGATATGACGTTCCAAAACGACATAACTCCGCGAGGAGATATGACGTTCCGAAACGACATAACTCCAGGAGGAGATATGACGTTCCAAAACGACATAACTCCAGGAGGAGATATGACGTTCCAAAACGACATAGCTCCAGGAGGAGATATGACGTTCCAAAACGACATAACTCCAGGCAAAACGATATAACTCCAGGCTCTGTAGTCTGTAGTCTGTAGTCTGTAGTCTGTAGTCTGTAGTCTGTAGTCTGTAGTCTGTAGTCTGTAGTCTGTAGTCTGTAGTCTGTAGTCTGTAGTCTGTAGTCTGTAGTCTGTAGTCTGTAGTCTGTAGTCTGTAGTCTGTAGTCTGTAGTCTGTAGTCTGTAGTCTGTAGTCTGTAGTCTGTAGTCTGTAGTCTGTAGTCTGTAGTCTGTAGTCTGTAGTCTGTAGTCTGTAGTCTGTAGTCTGTAGTCTGTAGTCTGTAGTCTGTAGTCTGTAGTCTGTAGTCTGTAGTCTGTAGTCTGTAGTCTGTAGTCTGTAGTCTGTAGTCTGTAGTCTGTAGTCTGTAGTCTGTAGTCTGTAGTCTGTAGTCTGTAGTCTGTAGTCTGTAGTCTGTAGTCTGTAGTCTGTAGTCTGTAGTCTGTAGTCTGTAGTCTGTAGTCTGTAGTCTGTAGTCATAACTCCAGGAGGAGATATGACGTTCCAAAACGACATAACTCCAGGCAAAACGATATAACTCCAGGCTCTGTAGTCTGTAGTCTGTAGTCTGTAGTCTGTAGTCTGTTGTCTGTAGTCTGTAGTCTGTAGTCTGTAGTCTGTAGTCTGTAGTCTGTAGTCTGTAGTCTGTAGTCTGTAGTCTGTATACTGTAGTCTGTAGTCTGTAGTCTGCAGTCTGTAGTCTGTAGTCTGTAGTCTCTAGATATGACGTTCCAAAACGACATAACTCCGCGAGGAGATATGACGTTCCGAAACGACATAACTCCAGGAGGAGATATGACGTTCCAAAACGACATAGCTCCAGGAGGAGATATGACGTTCCAAAACGACATAACTCCAGGCAAAACGATATAACTCCAGGCTCTGTAGTCTGTAGTCTGTAGTCTGTAGTCTGTAGTCTGTAGTCTGTAGTCTGTAGTCTGTTGTCTGTAGTCTGTAGTCTGTAGTCTGTAGTCTGTAGTCTGTAGTCTGTAGTCTGTAGTCTGTAGTCTGTAGTCTGTAGTCTGTAGTCTGTTGTCTGTAGTCTGTAGTCTGTAGTCTGTAGTCTGTAGTCTGTAGTCTGTAGTCTGTAGTCTGTAGTCTGTAGTCTGTAGTCTGTAGTCTGTAGTCTGTAGTCTGTAGTCTGTAGTCTGTAGTCTGTAGTCTGTAGTCTGTAGTCTGTAGTCTGTAGTCTGTAGTCATAACTCCAGGAGGAGATATGACGTTCCAAAACGACATAACTCCAGGCAAAACGATATAACTCCAGGCTCTGTAGTCTGTAGTCTGTAGTCTGTAGTCTGTAGTCTGTTGTCTGTAGTCTGTAGTCTGTAGTCTGTAGTCTGTAGTCTGTAGTCTGTAGTCTGTAGTCTGTAGTCTGTAGTCTGTATGCTGTAGTCTGTAGTCTGTAGTCTGCAGTCTGTAGTCTGTAGTCTGTAGTCTCTAGATATGACGTTCCAAAACGACATAACTCCGCGAGGAGATATGACGTTCCGAAACGACATAACTCCAGGAGGAGATATGACGTTCCAAAACGACATAGCTCCAGGAGGAGATATGACGTTCCAAAACGACATAACTCCAGGCAAAACGATATAACTCCAGGCTCTGTAGTCTGTAGTCTGTAGTCTGTAGTCTGTAGTCTGTAGTCTGTAGTCTGTAGTCTGTTGTCTGTAGTCTGTAGTCTGTAGTCTGTAGTCTGTAGTCTGTAGTCTGTAGTCTGTAGTCTGTAGTCTGTAGTCTGTAGTCTGTAGTCTGTTGTCTGTAGTCTGTAGTCTAGTCTGTAGTCTGTAGTCTGTAGTCTGTAGTCTGTAGTCTGTAGTCTGTAGTCTGTAGTCTGTAGTCTGTAGTCTGTAGTCTGTAGTCTGTAGTCTGTAGTCTGTAGTCTGTAGTCTGTAGTCTGTAGTCTGTAGTCTGTAGTCTGTAGTCTGTAGTCTGTAGTCATATAATCTCCGTGCGGAGTTATGCCGTTTTGAAACGGCAGGATTTTAGGCATAGATATAAAAAAAAAAAGGGTTCAAATCTGATGACTCTTCTGATCAGGAAAATATGAATATGCGATAAAGACTAGAAAAAAATCTTACTGGACACATTTTCTTTTAAATAATAAATATAAATTTCTGATCTGAAACCAAAAAGATTTGAAATATATGGAAAATATTTAATACTTAAGCATAACTATCTAAACTTTTATCAAACACAAACATATATAATTAACTATACAAAGAACACAAGACATTCAAACGAGATTGCTTGAGGAACTAAAGAAAAGCGCCCCAGCCAATGTACATGGAAGCGAGGTTATCCACTTTGGTGGCCTCGTTGATTAAGAAGTTAACCTGTCCCTCTGTGGACAGGGGTATGCTGTTAGCCTGCTGTCGCTTGACCTGCGGAAACGGGTTGAATTTGAGTAGTTGTCTTGGTTAGGGGTCAAAATACTACTCACATGTCCCTGCAGACGCTCCGCAATGCGCTGCACGTCGTTGGTGACCTTGGGATCGGTCAGTTCGGCACCGTTTTTGGTCTTGCTGCTGGCCGTTGCGGTTAGTCG